ATGGAGAGATTAATTGAAATAAGGTTAAAAAAAAGTATTGAAATTGAATGGAATTCCATTTGAATTTTTTCCTTCTTGAAATTGAAAGAGATTTAAAATTTAAATTTGGAAAAAAAAAAATTGAAATTGGATGAGATTGAATTTGACTTATTTCCTTCTTGAAATTGAGAGGATGGAGAGATTAATTGAAATAAGGTAAAAAAAATATTGAAATTGAATGGCATTCAATTTGACTCCTTTCCTTCTTGAAATTGAGAGGGATAGATTTAAAATTGAAATTTGGAAAAAAAAATTTTAATTGGATAAGGTTCAATTTGACTTATTTCCTTTTTGAGAGATTTTTCTACGTCGGCCATGAGGACGAAGAAAGACGTCATCGTCGATGACGATGAGGATGACAGGCCACCGATTATAAGATTGTGTTGTTGTTGTTTTTCTCGTTTTTTTTTTTTCATTTTCATTTTTTGTTTCTGTCATTTTCTAGGTAAAAATGAGTATTTAAAATCTATGACTAAATTTATCATAGTTAAAATTTGAGAGAAGAAATGAATATTCGTTATATTAGTGTAAAAGAAAAATGAGAAAGCAGTAAAAGCTTACTAAAATGGTTTGTTTTATAAAGAAACAAGAAATAGAGAATAAAAATAAAAAAAATTAAAATGTTACCAAACATGTCTTGAAATTGTAGTAATAACTAGTACTCTAAAATGGTCGACTAGACTTGTTGACCTAGAGTAGGGATTAGGGACGACGGTCGGTCTTGGAGTGGTCATACCCATGGTAGTTGACCTGAGTTGGTTGTTTGGGGTGGTTGACCTAGGTTGGTCTGCTTGTGTTGGTTGGCTCATTAGATGGTTGGGCCTAAGATGGTCAAGCTTGAGACTCCTAAGGTTGGTGGCTCGAGCTGGTCGACCCATCCAAGTCGTCAACCCATGGTGTTCATCCGTGTTGGTTGACTTGGATTGGTAAACTCGTGTTGGTAGCTAGGATGGTCGATCCAAGATGGTCACTCGTTACCCTTAGAAGTTCGTCGAGTTTAAACTCCCTTACAATTTTTTTTTGCACTATTTCGCTCATTGTGCTTAAGAAAAAATAAAAAAATACATACGAATCAACTATATAAAAATGTTAATATCCATTATATAAAAAGAATGTTGGAAATATTCAAATTGCTCCCCTCAAATTCGCTTCTCCTACCCCTCTAACCCATCTAAAAAAATGTCGAAGAAAACTGAAAATAAGTGAAAATAACTACCCTTTCCAGATTCCATACAAATCCTACTCTATTTGAAACTCTAAAATTATTTTTAAAATTAATTTCGTAATTTTACTTGAATTAATAGTGAAGTTCTTATCATACTTGAATTTTAGTCGATCATGTTCAAATTTTTATTTTAAATTCATATTTCGTAATTTTATCTAAAATTTAAAACTCAATTATGTATTGATTTAATACTTTTTTATTTTTAAATTTTCAGTTAAATATATTTCATAAATGCTAAAAATAAATTAAAATATAAAATCAAACATACTAACAAATAGCATACCCATTTCAAAAAAAATAAATAAATACATAAATAAAAAAAACAAAAAGCATACCTACTTACAACACAAATTATACCTATAATAATAAATCATACTCATAATAATAAATTATATTCATATTAAAATTAAATATGAATGTAAATTTTCACATAATAAAAAATCATGTACGAAAATAACATCATAATAATAAAAAATCATAATTAAAATATAAAACAACCAACAACTAATTTTAAAGAACTTAAAAATTAAATCACAAATCTAATAAAATATTGATTCTCCTAGTTTCCAGCACAATTCCTATAAATATTCATTTTAGTTTCAATTTTCAGAATAAAAAAAAACGTACCCAAAGTAAGAAGCAGTGTTTGCACCAAAAAATTCAAAGAAGCATCTGTTTTCAGAATCAAAATCACAAATAATAATAATAATAATAATAAATAAATTAAATTACATTAAATTAAAATAAAATAAAATCATTCCTATAAAATTTCATTCTAGTTTCATCTGTTTTCAAACTCTCCTGTTTTTTCTAATTTTTTACGAAAAATACCTAAAATTTTCAAAAAGTCCCATTTAGAAGTGTGGGAGAAGAAAATAAAATTATTTTTAAAAATTAGAATTTCAATATTTCAAAGATGATACTTTTCTAATAAGTATTTAGTTAATTAAATTAAAGTTTGTTTTCCTAAAAAAAAATCAAAATTAAAAAAATTAAAGTTTGTTTGATGAACTTATCTCATAATTTGTTTTATATTAAATATTAAGTGTTACTATAATTTTTTTTAGTCGGAAAATTATCGATTTAGTAATTAATTTTAAAATAAAAAATAAATGTAATAATAAATAATATAAATTATATCAAAAATAATTATTTACCAGCATAATTAAAATGGAGAAGTCTTTTTTTTCCCATGAAAGTGAAAGTTTGCATGAATGCTCTCTCACAAATTATTTGGTTTTTCCAATAAAAATTAGTTTCTTTTGTTCATGGTGCTGAAGAAAAAATAAGTCAAACGATATAAAAATGGATATCAATTATAAATAAAAGTTTGAGATTTCATACAAATCCTACTCAATTTGCAAATCTCTAAAATTATTTTTAAAATTAGTTTTAGGTTTAGAACATTTTAAAAAATAGTTTTATTTCTAGTGGTTATTTAAAAACCAAAATCCATGTTTTTTTCACTTAATTTATTTTAAAAATTGTAGATTTTGTTTCTTAATTCTGAAATCATAACAATTTAAAATAATAATAATAATAACAACAAATTAATTGAAATAGAGAAGTCAAAGGAGTAAACCTAGTGGGGTTTGGCAACTTGTTTTTAAATTACAAAAATGACTTTCTTTTTGGTCTAATTTTGCAATTAATTATAGCTTTTGTTGATCTTCTTTCCCTATGAAAGTGAAAGTTTGCACGAATGCTCCCTAACCAATTATTATGTTTTCGAATTAGTTGCCTTAAATATTAGCTTTTTTTCATTCATTGTGCTCAAGAAAAAATTAAAAAAAAAACATTAATTATTTGATATCATGTTCGAGTCAACGACATAAAATTGTGATATCGATTATAAAAAGAATATTGGTAGGTATATTTATTGACGAGTTTGTAAAGTGTAAGTGAAGTATCATTTTAAAAAAATAAATTTCTAATAAGTATTTAGTTAATTAAATTAAAATTTGTTTGACCAGCTTATCTGATAATTTTATTGGCATCTATCTCTGATTAAGGTCATGCGTTCAAATCTCCAACCCCACTTATTATTTAAAAAAAAATGATAATAATGCTACTTATGAATATAACGTGTTAATATAGGATACTTGGTTGTATCGAGTTGAAATAAATTAGAAAATAAAATTTTGTTTTTAGAACTAAAAAATGTGGAATATGAAAATTTAAAAAATACAAATTTTGGCATCTAAGATTAAAAGGAAAAAAAAGGTAGGAAAAAAATCATCAAAATTAATTAGTCATGATATTCCACAACTTTTTACCTTCCTTGATAGCAATGGTCAACTCCATTTACAAAGTCTCCCAATCTACAATTTGGCAATCCCATGTGATTTGTGTTCTCAACCTAACTTAAAATTATTAATTAATTTTGTTCACATTAGTTGGTCTTTATAATTTATCAAAAGTAACTATATTTTAAAGAATTCTGACCACGATCTTTACTGGCATGTTAAGAATCCTAATTGGCAATGAGAGAAGTAATACATATCTATTACAAACCTTTGTTAAATTAGCATGATATCAAATAACGAAAACACTAATTGATTGGCACATAAATAGAAAACGTGATACGTCTTCAAATATGATAGAAACAAACCAACGATGAATTTAAAATTGTAAGGACAAAATTGAAACTAAACCCCATCAAATGCCATAAAAACAGCTAATTTGAACATAGCTAAGTGGGTTAAGACATTTATATTCGACTAGAAGGATATGAATTCGAATTCTCAACCCCCACATATTTGTACTAAAAGAATTGCCGGACTTCGATTTTAATAATATAATAAAGTTTAATGCTTATTTTAACCCTACAACATCTCGTAATTTTGATCCTAATCAACTAGGAAAAGAYAATTTAATACAAAGTTTTTATGTAATAAAATATGACCAGATTAAAAGAATTCAAGGATTTCTCCTTTTTAATTAATTAAGCAAAAGAATGCTTAGCTGTTAATCAATATCAACTTTTTTGCTACATTCTTCTTATTCTTCTTCCCTTTATTAGGCAAATTAATCCATTTGTTCTTCATTGTCCGTACTAAAAGGTTGATCAATAATGTCCTTGCATATATTAGAGATATAATATATACTTTTGTAATTTTTAGAAAAAATAATTCTCTAAATTATTGGCTTGTTCATCTTAATGAGTTTTCTRGACTACAACAACTAACTCAAAAGAWTGAAATAAAGATAGAAATCTCTTATGATTACAATTTTATTATTTTAGTCTCTCTACTTTTGGTTTTTGTACGTTTATTTTACRTATCTGCTTTGGTCTCGGTATTTTTAAAAAGCGACAAATTTGGTCCATCATAGCTACATTTCATAGCTACATTTCAAAAAATTTAACGGATGGACAAAAATTTGACATTTTAAAAATGCAAAAGTTGAAARTACAGAAACTAAAATAAACGTTTCGAAACTACAGTCACTAAAAACTATAATACTCAAATAGTATTTAAACCCTAATTAAACTTGTGTCTTTTTTTATATTTTTATTTTAAAAAAGTATTTTTTGAATTCTCAACCAAAATTTTTAGGAACAGCAGATCGAAAATAAAGATGTTATCAAACAAACCGTGAGGTTCAAACTCATGACCTCTTTAGTCAGAGATATGTATTTTAACCAATTGAGCTATGCTCGATTTTGACGGACGCTATTAGATTTTAATCTTTAATGTTAATGTAGGGATCTAGAGCATATAAATTATAAATATTAAAATAGGACAAGGTTGGTGAAATTCCATATAGTATTGGTTTTGTGCATAACACGTTTGCTACAGACAATTTCCAAGCAACTCCAAAGTAATCTCTTGGGAATATTATTATATTTCTTTTCTTTTGAGCAGTTAGTTTTTTAATGAAATGCAACTTCATTTAATTCAAAGCTAGGGACCCTTTAGGGAATAGGGATTTGATTTTGACCAAAGATATTTTGAAAATGATAAAGTTAAAATTAATAGTTTCAAATCTCATAGGGTCATATTCAACCCACTTTAGCTCAAATAAATAGAAATAATAATTTAAATGATCCGTTATAAGTTCAAATTTCTCATCTTAAACTTGAAAAAAAAAAAAAGAGTTACAAATATGGTAGCATGATAAAAAGAGTTATATCACATTCATAGTAACTCATTTCAAATTTAGTAAAAAAAAAAGAAAAAAAAAACTAACAATTTTCCAGAAATAAAATACTATTTCATGAAGAAAAAAGAATAAAGAAATTATCCATTTTCCTCTCTCATAAACTGAAATGAGAAAATGCCACGTGCCCAAATGAATTTATTTTAATGTCTCAAAATACTCAAAATGGCATGAAAAAATATCATAATTAAATGAAAATATAATGAAGATTGCACATGTCATCTCCCCTAGAGCAAACAGTTGGTGAAATCTCATTGGATATCCAGTAATTTTCATGTTAAAAAGTTCATCCACTCACAAACTAATATTATTTTTTAATTACTCAAAATTTTATTGTCTAAATTAAAAATGTAGGGAGGGGGTTTACGTGGCCCTATGATGTTTTTTTTTTTAATAAAAATCCTTTTCTTTTCATTTATTAGTATTATTATTGGACTTTTCATGTCACCTAATGCTTTGGCATCTCCAAGGTTTGTCCTTTCCTTTTGTGTATTATTGGCATCAGTTCAACTTCTTTAAAACCATTTTTAGATCAGTTATAGCTGTCGTCTGCCCACTAATGGGCGAGAGAACTTGTTTAACGTCTCATGCGAGAAATAGTATACAAGAATGTAATTCTAATAAAAGCCTAAAATTGAATGGTTCGTGTGGTTGATATAAGCTAAATTAACATATTTGAAAGTCTTTGAGAGTCCATGTCATCTTGATTAAACTCACACGACTATCGAACTCTGACATTTAGTTGTATAAAAAAACTCATAGGATTTTGAATCTTAAACGGGTACCTTGATTGAGCACATAACTTCTTATTTTTCACGGACCTCAATGACTACTAGGCCAACTCCGGAAAAGTTCTCATAGAAACAAAAGGAGTGCTGAAAGTTATTCGCTTGAGTCTCAACCGATCGCCAATGAATGAAAACAAAAACAAGAAAGCTGTCTTAGAAACAGTACAGTCTTCAAAATGATCGCCAATTAATGAAAACAAAAACAAGAAAACTGTCTTAGAAACAGTACAAAGTCTTCAAAATGCTTCTAAAGTTAAAGGTTGATCTAAGAAGAATGATAGAACCATTTCTGAACTTGAAAAATCTATGGATTTTTCTGATAAAGATATTGCAATCTCTTTCAACTTCTAAGGCCAAAACCATTTTCCAGGGTTAAAAAATTTGGAGAGAATCTATATATAATCTAGATGACTCCAAGCTCATCACTTTATAATATTTTTCTAAAAGCAAGATGAAAAAACTGGTTATAATAATCAAATGGGTTGTTTTTTTAATATGAAGAATAAGATTAGACCTTCCCAAAAAGGAGATGAAGTTTAGAAAAAGGGGAAAAGAGCAATACATAATAAAATATTTATAAAGATCTTTATGTCATTTTATAATGTTGTTTCAAAGATGATGATGATCACTATAACTTGAACAGTAGAAAGGATCGGAAGAACTAAAAAACGACGAGTTACTATATAAATATGGGGAAATATTAACTCGATATGTCATAGAAATCTGTAAGAGAGAGAGAACTGAGATCCTTTGCATAATATTTAGAGGCATAAATTAGAGAGAGAGGAAGAGCTAAGCTAAAGTTTTAGAAGATAATGATGATGATGGGTGGCCATTTTGGTTGGGGCAAAGTAGAGGAAGAGGGATGGAGGAAAGGGCCTTGGACTGCTGAAGAAGACAGGCTGCTGATTGAGTATGTGAGAGTTCATGGTGAAGGAAGGTGGAACTCTGTGGCTCACCTTGCAGGTATTTTTTATAAAGTTACCTAAAAAACAACCCCTCGTTCGTTTAGATTCAGTACCCGAAAATTTGACCGACTTAGGATAAGTTCTCCCGTTTATGCCTCATAAAAAGGACTAGCAGGTTGATGAATCGTTAATATCTCGCATGGTAGGGAGTTTTGTTTACTCCTTTAAATTAAGCATCTGTTTCCTCTCTTTCCTATGCTTTAGATTGAGTATTTATTTCCCTCTCCTTTCTGCACTTTTTTTCTTTGGCATTTTCCTTGATTTGGGTCCTCATTTTTCTCTCTTTTTCTTTCATTTTCCTAAGCTTTTGAGCCAAACATGTGCCTATTTCTCATGAGTTCTCTTGGTGCATTTCAGGATTGAAAAGGAATGGCAAGAGTTGTAGGTTGAGATGGGTAAACTACCTGAGGCCGGACCTAAAGAGAGGACAAATAACCCCACATGAAGAGAGCATAATTCAAGAGCTTCATGCTAGATGGGGAAACAGGTAACTCCCTTTTTAAATCTCTCTAAATCTCTCTTTCTTAAGGGTGTAACCAAAGTCCAAAGTTTAACAAGAGTCCTCTAAAGAAGTTAAATTCATGTAGACGATCCGTCAAAGTTGACAATATCATACTTGAAGATGAAGGGAAAGTCTCATCAAACATTTATCCATCACTTTCTTCATTAAAAGTAGCTAAAAAACGACCCTTATATTTTGTAACACTATAGGTGGTCTACAATTGCTAGAAGCTTGCCAGGAAGAACTGATAATGAAATCAAGAATTATTGGAGGACCCATTTCAAGAAAAAGGTAAAAGTACCTTCCAACTTCAGCGAAAAGCCAAATACTCGCTTCCTAAGAAAGCATCAATATCAACAGCAACAACAAAGACAACAACAATATCGGGAGCTCCTACTACGACAACAACAACAACGAGAACTCCTACAACAGCAGCAGCAACAACAACTGAACCAACAACTTCATATGAAAACAGAACATGTAAATAGTTCTCAGACTCAAACAAGGCAAGAATCTTGTATGGGCTTGATGAGTAACTTCAATTCCCAAATAACTGACCATCATGACCAGCCAGGAAGCCTCCTGCTGTCTGTGCCCGAGGCAACTTCCATGGAGGAATTATGGGATGGGTTTCTGTGGAACTTTGAGGATTTTCAAGGCAATTTCACACTAAGTTCTGCATTAGGCAAAGCTAATGGACACAATCTAGTCAAACCCTTTTGTTGACTTCTTGGAGTTGTCACTGTAAAAGTGCTGAAGATAAATCCAAATCTTGCCTTAAACTTTATTTTGTGAACTATTATTATACTTTTAGGTAATAAAAAGGGGAAGCAGATTTGCTATTGTCCAAAAGTTCATTTAAGGCATTATTTTGCAGATGTTTCTTTTGTTTTTTTAACAAAATATATACAAATAAAGGAGATCTGAATCTTGAATAAGGAAAACTAAAATCAACTAGATTTTGCAAGTGACCACTAGTGATAGTAAAAGTTGCTAATCAACCTATCACATGAACTTTGTCCTTTCCATATTAGGATAAGACGATGCTGACTCTTTAAACAATACATTAATATTTTGACATTAATTATCGACCAAAACTTGATCAGGATGGAATCAAAAGATAGAAACTGTTTTCACATACGAAATGAGTTGTCCGACAACTTGGGGATACATAGAAGTCATGTCTTCAATGGGACTTAGAAATGATGGTACTTTTACACCCACTTATTATTAGTTTATGTTATTGTCACTTCATTTAATTTTAGTGATGTTTGACTTTTCTATTTCTTATCTTTAGTACAAAGGAAGTATGTCATGTTTTATCACTATGTTTTAGTAAGAGAACCTTAGATTAGGATAAGAAAGTGATATTATTTGGAGCCTCAAGCTCTCATTTTTATATGTATTGTCTTTGTTCGATTTTAAAGTCAAATGTTCAAGTATTTTTATGGAGCTTTATTATGATAATTTTACAGGTTAATTTGGTTGACTCTCTGTAATTTATAAACTGATTAATGGCCAAATTTAATTTAATTTTGAGAAGGTATTAATGGTAGGAATTGAAAGAGGATTTAGATGGAAAAAGATCATTGTGTCGTGGACGAAGCCACTACCTTGAAAGCAATCTTGACAAAACCTCGATGTTATATCGTGTGTTCGTCGATTACTCCTCAAGATTAACACAGGCGTGCAGAGTCGAATGTAATCGAAAAACATGCTCAGAAAAGTTTCTTACTGTTTCATAAGAACAAGTTTCTATTTATATAAAAACAATATGCTATTTTTGGTGGACTTAAAAAATCGCAAAAACTCTTTAAGGACAATTTAGTCATTACAAACATTAATTTCATACATTCTTCTCCATCCTTCGCTTGTCCTAGAAGCTATTTTCCAACATTCACTTTGGTATCAAAAATATATTTTTAATTTAAAAATCAAACGTTGAGGTAACAAAATCAAAATTCCTTTGATGACAGGATGAAAATCTGCCTCAGATGTGACTTGAAAACTATGGATTTTACACTTCCAACAGTTTCCATCTGCACACATCTCTACTGAAAATTTTGACCCCCTTATAGATTACCAAAACTTTGTTCAAAATAAAAAATCAGACCAAAAGACTCGAACTATCATAGAATGCTATATCATTAGCTCAATAAACTTTAGTACACAGATTACCCGAACAATTGATCCTCTAAATCTTGCCCTTCATTTGTTTCCGTCGATTTCTTCGCTGATCACGCAAGCCTGCAAGAAAGAAATTGCACTATGAGGAACGTGCGAGTAGATTTCCTACAAGTTGAATAAAGATTTTAGTAGCATACGTTTTTTCTCCTCCTTTTTCTTTCTCTTAGAACTCTCCACTTTCCTTCGTTTATCAGCCATCTCTTTTGCATCCATATGTACCTGTTGACAGGAAGAAAGACTAGAAAAGTTGAAACTTTGCTGTGACAAATCTAACAGATGATCAATTACCCTTAACCATTGCAGCCTAAAGAAAACTGATTTGCAAGGGAAAAAACTGTTCCAACCACAAAATGTTAGACATTACCTGCTGACCACCGGTTCGAAGTGCTTGTAGCGGTTCGATAAGATCTTGACCAATAACACCCAGCTTCCTTCTTTTGTTATCTCCCATATCCTGAACGGTCCCTTTCTGCTTGACCAGTTCTTCAAATTGATGTTGTAAAAGAGGTGAAACCCCAGCCTGATAAGCAATGAGGAAATGTTGGTCAATGTATCTTCCAAAATAAGAAATTTTTAGAAAGCAAATCCAGTCAATCAACAGCCAAAAACGGAAATTGTTCAAACTTGTGCAACCATTTAACTAGGAAATTATTTGTGCCAAAAATGTTTTATGAATAGGTTTTTTTCAAGAAACAGATTTTTAATTGGTAATATGAAATGTATAAAAAAGAGAGAGCATCAAGAACTGAATTACAGAAAAGCCTTCCAGCTTTCATGAGATTTTAAAAACTATAATTTATGATCAGTTTTTTGTCTTGCAAAACAGCAGTCTTTTTTCTTCCTCCCACTTCCTCTCTTTACTTAGTGGGCCTTTTTCTCTGGATGCAAAGTATCCATTCATATTACAGTATTTCGCACAAAGAGAATCCTAAAATCCACAAAACTAAAATGGAGAAAATTTAATGGTTGAACTTTTAACGGTATTAGTAGGTACTTACTCCGGCCAAATAACGGTGCGAAAATGATTTTGGTTGCAAGGGATGGGAAAGCAGCTTATTGAGCTCCTGCAATTAGTAATAAGAAGTTATGAATGAATGGAAGAATAAGCTATGGTATTGAACATAGCTACTATATCACTCAGTTTTAGGGCAAAATTATCCATTGCATGTCGGTTAATACCTGCTGCAACTTCCTTAACTGAGTGGAGCCAACTTTCTTCAGCTTAAAATTGTTTGCTCTCTCCTCTTCACTGTCATTGTTATCTACAACTAATCCCACTGACTCTGCATTTCGCTCAAACCAGGTTTTTGTTGCCTTCTCCTAGAAATCAGAAACATTGCTTTGAACTCATAGCGACCAGAAAATAAATTTCAATGGACAACCAATTGCCATAATAAGGAACAAGCAGATGAAACTGAGAAGTGACGACACAAATTTCCATATGTTAACAATAAATAGGCATGGGACTATGATATGTTTACCTGAGAATCCTTTCGGAGAATCTTGTCAATCTGGCGTGCAAGAGACAAACGTTTGAGAACCTCTGGCATGTATGAACTATCAATAGGAAATCGCTGGAAGCTTTCCTAACAGAACAGAAGCAAATGAGGAAGGATAAGTAGGATTGCTTGAAAGATGTTATAGCTAATGTTGATTATCAAAAAATAAGTCGGCTACAGAAATTAAACAAGCCTCATGTTGGAAACTACTATTACTTTAAAACTTAAGTTGGGCAAAAAGAGTTAATAAAACAAAGCAAATAGTCAAAGTAAATTTTTTAAAAAATATTTATTTCATGCCTGTTGGAAGTATAAAAATCATTTTAGATTTGCTACCTTTGAGAATGATTTGCACAGAGAAGCAAATTTGGAAGTTTCTCTGGCCGAGACCAACGCAATACTGCATCCATCTGCAGAAGCTCTAGCAGTTCTTCCACTTCTATGAACATAAACCTGATTCCAAATAAAACATTTTGTTACACTTATACATAAGAAGTTTAAACATCCTAGATGGTGTCTTACTAACCTCAGCTGAATGTGGTAGTTGGTAGTGGACAACAGTTCGAACACCAGGAATATCGAGGCCTCTAGCTGCAACATCAGTGGCAATGAGTATCCCATTTTCACTTCCACGGAAACGATCCATTGCCTGGGGTAAACAAAAATAGAAAACGTCTCTGAGTTTATAGCTTTGATGAAAGTAATTTATGTATGTTAAATGCAAAGCATATGTTCAACCTGAAACTGAAATGTTAAATGCAAAGGATATGTTAAACCTGAAATTGAAAGGGGGAAAAACCGACTTTGATTTCTATGAATTTAAGATACTAGACATGCAGAAAGATTTCTCCCAAACCTTTTTTAACAAATTTTTAACAGAAACCAAATTTTCATTGATATTTTGAAAAGTTAAAATGAAATGTGAAAATGAAATTATCTTTAGGGAAGTTACAAAAAATTTACAATTATAATAGTTTGCATTAGAAGGATAATCACTAAAATAGCAAGAGCATAACAAGAATTTTCATAACATCCAATAAGTTTCATTCTTTCCTCCCAGCCTAACTGTTGACCCCTTCAAATATTCCATGATTCCTCTGTCTACATGCCCCAAAAGTATTTCTTTGACAACAACAATCCACAATATTTTTGCTGTTCTTTTAAAGCCTATGCCCACGTAACAAGCTGGATATTACTTTTGGCTGAAAAGTCAAAAAACAAGGAGCGTCCAAAGCTTTGAAACATGGACTCCCACAATTTCCTGCTATACGAACAATAATTTCCACAACTTGGAGTGTTTTTCTAGTTCAAACTTTTTTTCAATGACATACTTATTTCTTATAAAGAAATTGAAATGAAATGATAGAAAAGCAATTTTGGCCTAAAACACATAGCTCTTGTCATCTCAGCACCCCCACATTTGAAAGGCCTTTATCAGATATTAGTTGTCTAAATGATACGCTTACCTTCAAGCGAGCTCGTTGCTGCATTTGAGCATGAAGAGTCCAAACATTGACGCCAACAATGCGCAACAAAGCAGCAATATGACGTAATGCAGCAATGGATGTGCAGAAAACAATTGTGCGGCCTTGTCCATAAACAGACAGAATGTAATACAAATAAGCATCTTTGTCTTCCTCCCTGCATCTGAAAGTAGGTCATGATTCAGTATGCTCCACCTCCACTGGAGGAGGGTTAAACAATGCAGAGAAAATTCAAAAAGCATAACCATCATTGCTAGTATGACATACCAAAAAAATAATATAACTTTTGGAACAAAGAAACAGTTCAATTAATGTAATTATGATCTGTCAATAAGATGTACAGACATACAGCTAGAAGCCATTGTTGTTTAAAAGCTTAGAAATGAGAGGGAAAATAGTTTTAGCCACCTTACTATATGGACGATGCAAACTGAGTCAGTCTTCCTTAACCACAAAACTTAATTTATAGGGTGAATATAAAAGTATGCAGACAGTTAGCGGACGTTTTGAGTATTCCTTGTGCTAGTATATGAAATAAATGAAATCTTCAATAGAAATAATAGAAGAGTTAGAGAATGCTATAAATCAGATGAAGAGGTACATACTCTATAAATGATTCTTCAAGGTTATTTGCCAAAACCGATGTGCTTGTAAGATTTATAATAGCAACATTAGGTCTCATCCCTGATCTCTCAGATAGAGCTTCTATGGAATTCAAACCATCCATCCCTGATTGATTAGGTCTCGTTGATCCACGCTTTAGCTTCTTACGGAAATCAGAAGATAATGACAGTGTAGCAGAAAAGACAAGTGTTTGCCTTTTCTTTGTTTGGGAACTTGGAGCTGCCGAAGAGTTTTCTGCATTTTGTGAATTTTCTGTAGAACCATTGGTACCAGGAAGCATATCAATTATGGACTGCAACTCACGAAAGTGCCCGTTTTCTATCATCCTATCAGCCTCATCCAGTACAAAGAAAGACAATGCCTGCAACTGAAACAGAAAAGTTGAAGAGTGTCAATATTACCAACGATACATGCTGCTGGTGATCATATTTACACCATGCCCACTCCCTACCACTAGATAGGTTAAAGAAGCACTGAACATATAGAAGGCTAATAGAGAAGAGGAAATAATTGAAAATTGGTACAGGAAGAGAAAATCAACTAAAATTGAAACAGAAAAGAAAATCATATGAAGGAAATAAACCACAACATTATGGAGTTAAAGGAAACATATTGATGAAGTTTGTTCGCACAAGTAAGATGATTAATGAGCTTAAATAATACATAATGGAGTCAAAAAGATTAGCAAAACGAAAAAACAGGACTTCTCTAATTTTAATTACTAGGCATTGACAAGTTTAACAAGTATCATAAAGTGCTCACTTCAACAAGATGTCTTTCTCCTCCCGACATAAGCTCCCATAAACGCCCTGGAGTTCCAACAACAATCTCTGGCCTCATCCTTAAAAGCCTTTCCTGCTTTTCAGTAGACATCCCACCAACGATTGGAACCACCCTGATATCTGTACCTACTACAACTGCCTTAAGATGATCAGTTACCTGGTAGTGGAAGACCAAAGAGGAGGAGTTAAACCCCACATTCAAGCCATACAAAATTCCAAAGAAAACGAGATGGGTTAACAATCCGTTTACTTATAGATCCATAAACTTCATTTTCATACTACAAATGCCAAAATAAAAAAATTAATATAGAATTATATTTATAACAGAAAAATAATTAAGAGCCCGTAGGAGTAATACTAACATGTTTTGTCTCCCACACGTTCCACTATAAACAAATTCGATTACCATGGGTGTCGGATATAGGAATCACAATCACCTGAAGAGCGAGTTCCCTAGTAGGAGTAATAATAAGAGCCCGTAGAAGACTTCTGGGAGAATATCTTTTTTCATCCACTCCCTTTTCTTCAGACATCTTTCCAGATTTCTCCTGTTCATCCAAGAAACGTTGTAGGATAGGCAATCCAAAAGCTAGTGTTTTTCCGGACCCTGTCTCAGCAGCACCAACCACATCCTGTCACATAAGCAAAAATTCAAAAACTGGAAAAACATGATCCAATTTCCACCCCTGAAATGATAGGAAGAAAATTAACCTTCCCCTGGAAAGCAGCAGCTGGAATACAAGCTCTCTGGATTGGTGTAGGTTCCTTAAACCCATGTTTGTAAATTGATTTCATAAGCAAAGGATGGAGTCTCAACTCATTCCATGCATAATATTCAGCTTCATCGACGGCATCATTTTCAACTTCGTCCTTGATTTCTTTATCTAAAAGCAAATCACATTACGATATAGTTTTGAATAGTCACTTACAATGCATCAATTGTCTCGCTAATCAGAACAACAACAAWATTGTGCATAATTACATCTTACCCAGACCATGTCGTTAATTGGTAATGGGACAAAAAATCAATAGGAGATGGCTTCAATCCAAATGAAAGTAACAGAAATTACAAAATGGCTCCCCTAATTATGATTGGCAACCGAAGAAGGGAAAATGAGGCATTACCAACTAAATGGATTTGGAGTCTTCAATCGGAGACTCTGTAGCAATGGTTCAAAATCATTGAAAATATTCATGAAAGAGAGGAACAGGGTGGTATGAAAAAGAAATAAGAAGGGGTCTAAGGTGGTATATGCAAAACAATGAAAACTATGTGGAGGGCTCTCTACCATCAGAGTTGGAAATGAGACGAGAACTCTATTCTGGGAGGATGTATGGCAGGAGAGGAACCAATATTGACGAGATTCCCACTGATATTTATAGTTAGTGATAAAAAGTGTGGGTTGGTAAGTGAATTATGGTTCTAGATTGCAAGATGCATTCTTGGAATCTCAAGGCTAGGAGACCAATAGACATTTAAGAATTTGGAAAATACTTGGCTCACGGTGAGGACCAAATCTTGTCCTCACCACCGTTGAAAATTTGACAAATTATTTTTTTTTAAAAGTCCATGTTTTTGCATTTCTCACTCTTAGTTGTCAAACATTTAACGATGGTGAGGACAAGGTTGCTCCTTACCGTTAAGGAGCCAAGTATTTTCCTAAGAATTTGATAGACCCCAGATTACTAAGGTGTATCAACGTAAACGAATGAGAAAGAGAGAGACAGTTTGAACAAGTGCATTACGCACTCATAGGTGGGCCCTGGAGGATATTCGTTAGTTATACGGGTATAAGGAATATTGGTTAGTTACACAAAGAGGGTATATCTAAGGGTAGAGAGAGGAAGGGGGGTCATGAAAGTTATTTTCTGAATGGTGATTGTATTCTCTGTGAGTACTTGGGAGGGACAGGGAGCTCTCTAAACTCCCTTGGCTTGTCGATAAATAAAATTGAGGSTGAGGCCTAACAATTTTGGTATCAGAGMCARGTTTGGGAATGGTTGGTAGCAGGATGGACACTMGGATTAATGAAGTTGAAGARAAGTTCGAAGGAAGAATTGGAGAGATGCAAGAGAAGTTAGTAGAGATGCAATCGAGTTTGACAGGAATGGAGGGAAGGATGGATTCTAAGGTGGAGGAAATCAGAGGAGATATGATTTCAATGTTCAAAAAATTGGAGGGACTATTYCGGGAGAAAGAAGGTTCRGCATCGTCGGAACGGACTAATACGGATAGGGGTAAGCAGAAAATGATCGTTGAAGCTSCGCYAGTGGGAGGAAGGTCGATTGTGGTAGGAGAATCAAAAATCGAAGAGAAAAAAACAGAGGGGGGTGCACATGTACCTGGGGTCCGTGAAGTTCCTTTGTTCGACATGCGTTTGCGGAAGCTTGAGGTACCGATTTTTAAGGGGGAGGAAGGGGAAGATCCAGATAATTGGTTACACCGGGTGGAACGCTACTTCGTTGTGAATCGGTTGACGGAGAAGGACAAGTTAGAGGCCGCAGTGCTGTGCCTTGAGGAGGAAGCTTTATCTTGGCTTCAATGGGAGGAAAGTCGGGAACCGTTCACGACGTGGCCGGAATTTCGCGAACGATTGCTGGAACGATTTCGACCGCCGGATGAGGGGGATCAATACGTGAGATTTTTGGTGTTGCGTCAGGAGACCACCGTCAAGGCTTATCGGCAGCTTTTTGAACAATATGCGGCGACGCTTAGGGATGTCCCTGAAACGATTTTGGAGAGTAAATTTGTAAGTGGGCTAAAGGATGAGATCCAGAGTGAATTACGAATTCTGAAACCCGTGGGTTTGAAGGCAAAAATGGCTCTGGCCCAAACTATTGAGGTAAATGGGCCGGCCCGACCAAAAAAATTATCTGCAGCGGCTATCACTCCAAATAAAGCGAGCGGGTCTAGCTCAAGCGGGTCGGTTTCAAACGGGTCGCGGACCATCTCTCTTAACCCGACTCGAAACCCTGGTTCCTCTTCTACGACGATCTCTTTCAATCGCGATGTCACAGGAAAGGGACCGACARCGATGAATACCTTTAAGCGGTTGACAGCGGCTGAATTGCAGAGCAAGAGGGAGAAGGGTTTATGTTTTAAGTGTGACGAAAAGTTTTCACCGGGCCATCGCTGTAAGAAAAGTGAGTTACAGGTCTTGGTCCTCCAAGAGGATGAATTAGCGGTGGAGGACGTGATGGAGCAGCGGACCGCAACGCCACCGGAGATTGAGGAACATCAAGGGGTTTCCGGGACGGAAATGGGGTCTCTCTCTCTAAATTCTTTGGTTGGATTGAACTCCCCGAAAACGCTGAAGGTACAGGGCGAAATTCGTGGWCGACGAGTGGTGATTTTGATCGATTGTGGGGCGACTCATAATTTTATTTCTGAAGAAGTGGTGGCCGCCACRGGACTCCCAATTTCATCGTCCGCAGGGTACGGCGTCGTCCTTGGTACGGGTGGGTCTGTCCGCGCAGCCGGTATATGCGAAGGTGTGCTTCTAACTATCTCCGATTTAACGATTATCCAGGATTTTCTTCCTTTGCCGCTAGGTWGCGCGGATGTAATACWTGGAATTTCGTGGCTGGAAACGTTGGRCAAGATTCAGTTTGATTTTCGTCTGTCGGTGATGGATTTCTGCATTGGCGATTGGCAAGTTCACATCCAAGGGGACCGAAGCTTGGTTAGATCACAGGTCTCCCTCAAGGCTATGATGAAGGCCTTTGGACAGGATGACCAGGGGGTTCTTATCGAACTCARTGCRTTAGCTGGCGCCGGGATCGGTTCAAACGGGAATTCAAACAGAGATCAATGGGCAGMAGTACCTYCGTCCATCCGATCAGTTCTTCACCGATTTGCCCATGTTTTTGAATCGCAGCAGGCCTTACCACCTACACGGATCCATGACCATGCCATCGAATTACTACCAGGCGCTGGACCCGTCAATGTGCGRCCCTATCGTTACCCCCAGTTCCAAAAAAACGAGATAGAACGTCTGGTAAAAGAAATGCTGATGGCTGGAATTATACAGCCGAGTAAAAGTGCTTTCTCAAGTCCGGTTCTATTAGTAAAGAAAAAAGACGGCAGTTGGCGGTTCTGTGTGGACTACAGGGCTTTGAATCAAGTAACCSTACCAGATAATTTCCCAATTCCGGTGGTGGATGAGCTTCTCGATGAATTGTTCGGKGCTACAGTGTTTTCGAAAATTGATTTGAAATCCGGGTACCATCAAATCCGTGTTAGCATGACCGACATCCATAAAACGGCTTTCCGTACCCATGAGGGACATTATGAGTTCCTGGTCATGCCCTTCGGTCTCCGMAATGCGCCATCCACATTCCAGTCCGTCATGAATGACATTCTGCGACCATTTCTGAGGAAATTTGTTTTGGTTTTCTTCRACGATATTCTCATATACAGTGTGACTATGGCAGATCACRTGGGACATTTGGAGACAGTTTTGAGCGTTTTGGTGCAAAATCAGTTTGTGGCCAACCTTAAAAAATGTCAGTTTGCAGTTTCCAAAATTGAGTATTTGGGTCACTTGATCTCGRCAGATGGTGTGGCRGCTGATCCCATTAAGTTGGAGGCAATGAACCGATGGCCCTCACCCCGCAACCTTAAAGAGTTGCGTGGATTCCTCGGGTTAACAGGTTACTATCGWAAATTTGTGGCTAATTATGGGACAATTGCTTTTCCCTTGACACAKCTTCTAAAGAAAGACKGGTTTCACTGGAATCCGGCAACAGAATTAGCTTTCCAGCAGTTAAAGTCTGCAATGTTAAATGTGCCCGTTCTKGGGCTACCTGATTTTTCACAACCATTCGTGTTGGAGACCGATGCATCTGGTGTCGGGGTGGGAGCAGTTTTGATGCAAAATCAACGGCCTTTAGCCTATTTCAGCCACGCTTTACCACTTACGCATCGCCATAAGGCYGTTTATGAGCGAGAGTTAATGGCCATCGTCTTTGCTGTTCAGAAGTGGCGACCGTATTTGTTAGGACGACAATTCACCGTCCGTACTGACCAAAAAAGTTTGAAGTTCCTTCTCGAACAACGGGTGGTCGCARGTGAGTACCAACGCTGGCTGGCCAAGCTGTTGGGTTACGATTTTGTCATCGAATATAAACGTGGGTTGGATAACAYGGCAGCCGATGCGTTGTCCCGCCTTCCGGCCGCYTTCGAACTGGGAGTCTTAAGCGTCGTTGATGGATTGAATATGGYCGTATTTGAGACTCAGGTTAGCGAAGACYACGCACTGTCCAACATTCGTCAAGCTATACTCGAGCACCGGGATTATCCGACGGGATTCTCTTTAAAGGGCAACTTACTCCTTTATCGMGGTAAATTAGTTTTACCCCCCACGTCRCCTACAATTYCCYTTTTACTGCAGGARTTCCATAACAGCCMGGTCGGAGGACACCATGGGGCATTGAAAACCTAWCAGCGGATTGCGCGCGAGGTGTATTGGAAAGGGATGAAGGCACGGGTACGGGCTTATGTAGCTGATTGTGCTATTTGCCAGCAAGCCAAATACCTGTCCTTGGCCCCCACAGGACTTTTGCAACCCCTACCCATTCCCGACCGAGTATGGGAAGACATCTCTATGGATTTCATCGAGGGCTTGCCGAAATCAGAAGGGTATGATACCATTCTTGTGGTGGTCAATCGGTTATCCAAGTATGCTCATTTTCTTCCTTTAAAGCATCCTTTTACTGCCTTCTCAGTGGCTGCTGTTTTTTTGAGAGAAGTTGTGCGTTTGCACGGGTGCCCAAGGAGTATTGTCTCAGACCGTGATAAAATCTTTACGAGTCTCTTTTGGGAAGAGTTGTTCCGTTCCCTAGGAACAAAGCTTAAGCATAGCACTGCATATCATCCCCAAACGGATGGTCAAACTGAGGTGGTGAACCGAGGGGTTGAAACGTATCTTCGCTGTTTTGCTATGACGACACCGACCCAGTGGGCAAAATGGCTTTCTTGGGCAGAATACAGTTATAATACCGCCAGCCACACGGCCACTATGCTCTCACCATTTGAGGTTGTATACGGTCGGGCTCCACCCCCGCTATTACAGTACACCGCTGATTCATCGGCCGTCAGTGCGGTAGATCGTCAACTTCGTGATCGTGATGTTATGCTGGCTACACTAAAGGACCATTTGCACCGGGCCCAACAAAAGATGATTGCGTCAGCGAATGCCCATAGAAGAGATGTCTCTTTTGCGGTCGATGATTGGGCCTATGTGAAATTACGTCCCTATCGCCAATCGACTTTGTATCGCCATACCCACCCTAAATTGGCACCCCGTTTCATTGGCCCGCTCCAAGTGCTGTCCCGCGTCGGCAAGGTTGCTTACCGCCTAGCCATTCCCGAGACCGCCGGCATCCATCCCGTTTTTCATGTGTCATTGCTACGAAAGGCGGTTGGTCCTAATTTGCCCGTCTTTCCGATCCCAACGAATTTGACTCCAGATCTTCGTTGGCCCTTACAGCCGCTTGCTCTGCTTGGATTGCATCAGTGTCCATCTACACCGGGTGAATTGGAAGTGCTGATTCATTGGGAGCATGCTTCTACTGAGGATGCCACTTGGGAACGTGCTGCTCAGATTGCGTTCCAGTTTCCAAACTTTCACCTTGTGGCTTGTTGGGGGGTGGGTAGTGATAGACCCCAGATTACTAAGGTGTATCAACGTAAACGAATGAGAAAGAGAGAGACAATTTGAACAAGTGCATTACGCACTCATAGGTGGGCCTTGGAGGATATTCGTTAGTTATGCGGGTATAAGGAATATTGGTTAGTTACACAAAGAGGGTATATCTAAGGGTAGAGAGAGGAAGGGGGGTCATGAAAGTTATTTTCTGAATGGTGATTGTATTCTCGGTGAGTACTTGGGAGAGGCAGGGAGCTCTCTAAACTCCCTTGGCTTGTCGATAACGGCACACCTAGGACAGGAGGAGGATAGAAGTTGGAAAAGCCAGCCCTCCCGACTTTTTTCGGTGAAGTTTTTTTGTGTGGATACAATGTGAAATAACTAATACTCAAATACTAACCATGAGGACACAGAAATGATAGAAATATATTTTCCTCAGTGTATCATACMTAACAAATAACTAATGATCAAATGTACGTAACACAAACCAAGAATATTCACTCCACAAAAATTTATATGATAATAATACTGACCAGTTACTGACTCCTCGATTTCCATCGTTCTTTTCTTTTTTTTCTTTTGCTGCTTCTTCTGTGTCTCCAAATGATCACCGTCGTCCATTTCATCCCCGACCTCTGTCTCGGTCCCATCACTGTCACTGCCACCTATATCTTCAGCTACAAATTCCTCCCCTGTTGGGGTTTCATTGATGACCTTTTTTTTCTTCTTTCTTTTCTTCTCCTTTTTCCCTTTCTTGCCAGTTTTCGTATTCTCCATTTCCTTTTTGCTACTATCATCCCCATCTCCCGATGCATCCCCACAGCTGCCAGCATTGTCGTGCTCGTCTTTCCTCAAATTCTTACCAGCCTTTGATATCGACTTCTGTTTCACTGTTTCGGGTTCAGGAATCGCCAGGCCATATTCAGCTTCGTCAATCTCCTCGAGCGAAAGAAAACCTATTGTACATGATTGAAATAAGACATTCATGTGTCATTTACTCTCAGTCTCAATACATTCAAAAAAACAAAACAAACCGTTAATTACTAAAAAGTAAATAAACTACAAATTGGAAAATAACTTATCAGACTTAATTTAGTATGCACAAACATATAACGAAACATCAATATCAGATCATACAGATGAACAAACGAATAAGTTCGAACCTCCTTCAAGTTCGTTAGAACCAATGAAAGCAGACAAAGGGTCGTCGCTAGGGATCGATGAGTTCCACTTGAGTGAATCGAGACGTTCCAATTCTGGGTCCTTCTGAGTTCTCTTCCTCTTTGGCCTTCGCTTTTGCAACATCTGAGAAGACATAGATTCCATTGGGTCTGTCGAAACCCACCGCTCACTGCAGCTGAGAATCAAAGTATCCCTCCAAAATTGAAAATCGAGCTTCAATTCAACCCACCTCTAACCTAGAACCGATTAGGCGTGAAAAGTTTTCGGCTCGGTTCGATTTTCGGACAGTGATGATAGAGACTTGTTTGAAGAACAACTGCTTCGCATAGCCGTCTGAGGATCGTGAGTCGCCGACGTCTGAGGTAGGGCTACCAGGTATCCGGGCGTTGAGGGTGATGGGTTCCGGCCGTACGAGATTCCGGCGCCGATTTGAGGGAGTGCGGCTGCTGAGAGAGAACCCGCTGAAGATGAAAATCGAGTATGCGAGAGAGCGATTTGGCGCAAAGAGTAGGAAGAACCAGACCCAGACCCGAACCGAACCGAATAATATCGGTCGGTTCGGATTGGTTCCGGCTATATTCGGTTTTCTTCACGCCAAAACCTATTAGCTTTTTCTTCTTTTTTTCCTTCCTTTAAGTCAATTTTATTCTATAAATTTGAATCAATTTGATCTCTAAATTTTAGTATCTAAGAATTTAGTTATTGTAATTAAAATTGTGTAAATTTAATCTCTATCATGATTTTATTTTAAATTTCTTATATATGAGATTGATAAATCGTTGAGGATCCATTATATTTATAGATTATAAAACTGTATTGTCATATTTTATCGACACTTAATTTTGATAATATTTTTTAAATTAAAGACTAAATTGTTACAAATTCTAAAACTTCATAGCGTTACAAATTAAAATTCATAGACTAAATCATTCTTTATTTTTTATTTCATTAAATTGAAACTCAAACTTAGTTGGTAATTTGTATAAATTTTTATTTTAAACGTTCAATTTTATCCTATTGCTATTTTAACATAGATATGTGTTGTAATTTTTACCTTCCAATCAATTTTTATTAAATCATCATTAAAAATAAAAGTTTTCTCAAATTCATTTAATGAATTATAAAACATACATTTGAATTAAATTAATATGATATAAAAATATATATATAACACTATAGCTTTTATAGATGTATATATGATTTATAAGCTTTGATAGATTTATTCAATTGTGAATGTTGTTTATTTGACCGAATTTAATTTGGTACAAATTTTGATTCCATTTAAATCAGTCGAATTTAATGTCTCATCAAACTTAAATATTGAGCGATACCTCATATCTAATATAAAAAGAGTTGTACGGAGGAATTTTGTCTATGATTTAATTGCATTTTTGTCATTTATCCCTCTAAAATTATACCATTATTCCCTCTCTCATAAATTACAAAATCATAAGTCAAATCTAAATATTTTTTTTACTTAGGCCGGTCACAAATTAAGATTTATCAATTCCAATATTACGCTGGACTCGAAATCAACAACAAACACAAATAAAAATAATCAAAGTTTTCAATAAATTCCAGTTAGAGTCCCTGTAAAATGGTGTTTAATGAATAAGTATTATATTTAAATGGGGAGGACTATAAAGATTTATCAAAAGAAAAATCTGAAAAAATAAACAAAAAAATAAAATTGGTTGATTCCTGCCCATTAGGAAGGGTAGCGATCTTTGAAGGATTCTTAAAAAGAGATACGCAGTTATAAGGTGAGTATATTAATTGAAAAATAGTAACAAATTTTAGTTGGTTAATATTATTCTTAAGAAGATTTCAAAGATTTGAGGATTTTTTTTTATTTATTAAGTTGGCGGATGCCTGGTTAACTCCACGTTGTCGCCCTCGCGAAAAATCAGATCAAAAAATCGTATATAAAACCTTTAAAACTTGGTAAAATAAAAATCATAACAACAAACTATAATTTATAGGATACAAATAGGTAAACTTTTTATGCAAAAAGAGTCTCAAAATAGTAAAAAAACGATCTCATAAACAAAAAGATTCAAACCAAAAATTTTTAGGACAAAAGTCCTTAAAATCTAAGACCTCAAAACTTTTCCCAATAAATTGAATTAAARAACTACAAATCAAGAAAAATAAATTAAAACAATGAGTAAGAAAAAAGTTTACCGATCTTTGAGACAAAATACCAAAATTATTTTTTTTTCCTTTTCTTTTTCTCTTGAAGAGGAAATTAGGTCTAACAGCTTAAGAAAATAAAACCTAGCGTTTAAAACAGACCCTAATCCTTATTTAAAAAATTTAATAAAAAGATAAATATTTAATAAAACTCTTTCTTTTTATTTTTTTTCAAATTCTAAGAACAAATTATCTTTTAAAAATAATTTTTAAAATAAAAATTTATATATATATATATACATATATTTTTGTCAACTTCAGATCTGCTCCATCAGGCGAGCAAGATGTCTCTCAAATAGTGTCCCGAATACAATAAATACATTATAAATAGGAAAAAACTTATTCCATAATATCATTAAACATTTCACTAACTCATTATTATTATTATTATTATTATTATTATTATTATTATTATTTTGCATTCATGTTTCATGGTTGTCAAATATTTTGTTGGTTTTTTTCTTTTATATATATATTTTGTAAACCATCTCCTATTTTATTGATAAAAGTTTTGGCAACTCTAATGTTGTGCGATGGGGTCCTGCCTTCGTGCCTTTGGATCAAGGTATGGTTTTTTCAAAGTTTTAAGCATATTATTACACCCGGTTTATAGAATAGTACTTTGACATTAGAGACAAACCTTTTGAAATTTATAAGATTGGACACATTTCAGTTCCAAAAGTTATATATATTTTTGAGKATGGAGGATTCAAACTCGAGATCGTGGTCAACTATTTTTAAATAATTTTTTTAAAAAAATAATGTAGTTCAAAAATATTTTTAAAAGGGCCATTGAAAATCGCCAAGTCTTATATTGCATGGTTATAAGACTTTTTAGCTGACTTTCATTTTATTTTAAAGTGTGCAGTGTTATGACATATTCAAATAAAATAAAAACACCATTAAAAATTAAACTAAAAAATTAAAAATTAAATATAAATTTATAATATTTTATAATAAAATCTAATTTTATATTGGAAAAAAATTATTAATGGTATAAATGAAAAATAAATAAAAAATATAAAACAACCAAATAAAAAGTTGCGGTAAAAGTAGAAAAGTTAAATGTATGACAAACAATAAAGAATGAGAATGGGCTTGTCCAAAACATTGGATGTATTCCAAGTAAACATCATCAATGAAAAAATTGGAATTCTTAAATTTTAATTTTTTACTTTCTCTAAAATTTTATTTTTAGTTTTTAANTTTTTTCTATCTCCAGATTTTTCATCGTTTTTGGGTCTAAATTTCTCACTTTTTGTTAAGAACGGTATAGTTTTTTCGGTGAAAATTTATATTAGAGATCTTTTGAATTATTTTGAAACTAATGTAAGTTTAGTATTCGTAATCAATTAAATCATACATCGATTATATTTGTTTTGAATAGTTTGATTGTCTACTTTAGTTTTAAACCATTTTTTAGCTTCAAAGCACTCATGTCTAAGGCATAATTTTGATGTGGGTTAAGAGACCAGAGACGACCAAGTTGTAATTTATGATTTTTTTAATATATATATATAATATTTAACATTGCATTGTAATATCAAATTAGTACAAGTTCGCCCACTTTAAGATCTTCAAAGCAAGTTTTGATATTATTATTATTAATCTTTGTTATTATTATCCTTATCAATGTTATTACAAATTTTATACACAATGAAAATAATTTAATATAAAATTATAGCCACAATTCAAGAAATTTAAAAATAAGAGAACAAAATGGTCTATTATTAAAAGCAAAGGCCGGGACTAAAATAATTTAATTGACGAAGTTTAAAAGGCCGGGACTAAAATCTATTTCTTACTTTATATATCTCGCCTATACGTGATTCAAGATCGAATCGAGCCTCTCAACTATTTCTTCGATGTTGAGCATATTTTTAACCTAGTTAAGTAAAGCTGACAGGTCATAAATTTTTTTTTAATTGATTTTAAATTTTTTTAAGCTGGAAATGATTAGAGTCATAAACTCATAGGCCTATGCTTATTTAATTGGCGATTTTCTAATTTTACCCTCCTTTTATATTTGCACTAACATTGAGATTTTTTTTTGTGGACTACATGGAACGCATTTGATAGGTTTTTGATAACAACATTGAACCCATTGAAAATATTGGGTCCAAGATCGAAGAACATCCAGACCTCCACTATGTGTTCTATGTCGGGCAAATGTTTCACCGTTTCCTTCACCAACTCTGAGAACAAACCCACCATTCTCTAAATTCCAACTTTAACTCTTATATAAGTGGAGAGGTTGGTGCAGGTGTTTTCAATTTTACCATTTTCCATAAATAATTGAAGGTAGATTATTATTTAGATTTATAATTTTTAACAATAGTATGAATTAATTAAAAGAAACAAAAAGCCACCATCACTGTCAATTGGTAGCAAAAATACTCGATTAGTATGATTTTATTCAAATTTAAGATGAGAAAATGGACAAAAATTAAAGGTTACAAATGAAGATATTTTGAGTAATTAATACATCTATTATAATTTTTATTTATTATACATTTTTTTCATGTTAGCGTTTTTTTTGTCTGTTTTCCTTTTTAGTAACATTTATAGCACAGCCACTTCAATTCAATCAAGTTGTTTAAAACAACTTATTTTTTCTCAAATGTTGTTTGGGAGTGGACTCAAAACCATGTGGAAAGGAGAGCACCTCCTTTGAAGAAGAGCGTAAAATGTCAATAATGTCCTTCTACGCATGTATGAGACATGGGTAAAAAAGACATTCCACACGTCACAAGAAAATGGCTAAAGCTAGCAAATACAAAATTCGGTAATTATTTTGATAAAAGATACATGCATCAATCTTGGTATATATCCATTTGCATATAATTATGGGTAACAATAAAATAAAAAGTTTGTTACAAGTATTTATGTGGTAGGACCATCATTAATACAATTTTATTGCTTTAAATTATATTATAATATTGAAATTAAGCATAATATTCAAATCCATAAGCACTTTAATATCATCTAAAAAATCATGATTCATTCTCCACCCCTATAACTATAGAAGTAAAAAAAAATTGTCTTTGCATATTTTCATCATATTATTCGTTCCCAAACTTCGATCCCAATATTTGGATTTTGAAATATGTTGTTTAAATTTAATGAGGAGCTGGTCAATTTCCGAAGGAAGCTGTGTGATACTTGGTGGGTAGAGGAATCAAATTGCTTGAGGAGATACTTTGAGGTTCAAAGTAGTAACCAATTTACTGGATACAATGTTTTCGGTGCTCCCACTCTCATGACAGTACAAACTTTTCCATTAATAGTACATCGGGTCCGAAACAAAGAGTGTAGTTGCTGGACTGAAGGAGTTTTTGGAGTTAGGAGAATCCGAAACACAAGAAATGTGTTCTCCATCATTGGGGTCAATATAAGTAACTTCCTCTTCAAAATCTTGAAAAGCTTCCACAAAATTTACTGTTTTTCGTTGAAGACACTCATTTGAGATGTGTCCTACTTATCCACACCGATATCATTTGCCCAAAGTAGGCCTAGCATAAGTATTATTTGTTCGTTTGACCGTATGCTCTGTTTGTTTAGGGTCATCAAGAGTTTTACCTTTGGAAATAGGTGTAGTGCCCGATGGAGCTTTGTCTAGGAAGGAAGTAACTTTTTTGGAAGAACTTGCTTGGCTATCTCCCATGGTCCTCCACTGATATTGAAACCGAAACCTATTGACTTGTTGTTCTTCGATTGTTATTGTTGTAGCTATAGCCTCATCAAGGAAGCCAATGGGTTGAAGTTGAAGTTTTTCTTTAATGTTAGCTCGTAATCCACTAACAAATCTAGCCACTTGGTATTGCTCATTCTCTCCCAGATTAGTTCGGGCCCCCAACGGATGGAACTCTTTCGTGTATTCAGAGATGGATCGTGTCCCTTGCTTTAAATTATTTGAAGAATAAAAAAATATATTTTTATTTTAAAAAACATTTTTGGTAAAATAAAATAAATCAACTTTTTCATGGTGTGAGAATCAAACCCAAGGCATCCGAGGACGTAGGGGCACTCATTAGCCAACAAGCAAGAGGCTAACTTCATAGGAAGAGGGAAAGCAATTTCTGGTTTATTACAGGAGCAATGTCATGATAGGAGCGGAAACCAGATACACCCAAGTCGAGAATATGGTGCTTGCCCTTGTTGTCTCGGCTCGAATGCTTCGCCCCTATTTTCAAGCTCATCATATAATAGTTTTGTCCAACCACCCTCTCATGCAAAATAACTTCAAAACCCCGAGACCTTTGGGAGACTTATGAAATGGAAGAGACTTATCCTAGTTATTATTTGGGAAGTTTTTGTACATTTGTCAAAGTGTGCCCATTTTAGCTCTTTTAATTATCATATATAATCTTTGGAATTGAATGTTGAGCTAAAGTCCCAGATCTTGAATACTCAAAATAGTGTTGAATTCTCTTATTTTTGGCTTTGATGCGCATGTATGGAATGAGAAGATAAAAAGGAATAGATGAAGCATGTTCAAGACAGATCATAAGAGAGGGAATTGGGGCACATAATTGCTGGAGCATGGATTCGCGCAGTAACTATCCCAGAAACACATGATATTTTACCATGTCCATATAGTTACCAGTTGGGTGCCCTACAATTGAGACCCGATATAAAAGGGACAGAATACTCTAGTAGTCGACGTACACAGATCCCAAACAAGAGAAAAGCAAAAATCTTTATACGAAAAAAGCCAAAAGGAAAGCGCTCTCAATTGAAAAAAATTATTTGGGGAAATAGGGTTGGTCTCATTCCATTTTTTATTTTTAATAGCGAGAGACAGCCTGTTAAAATACCGTTACATGTTTTTTATAATAATATAATTATGTTTTTAAATAAAATGTATCAAATATTATTTAATGATTTATCTTTCAAATAAGTTTATCAGATCATTGTCTCCAAAACAATTAAAATTTTAACGTAAATATTATCATTATAAGAACAATATTTAACTTACTTGAAGTTGAAATATTTCAAAACAAATATTAAAATCTTAAAGTGATTTTTATAATAATAAGACAAATAGAAATCAAGAACCATTACATTGAATCCAGATGTCCATCTCACATGAATCTTGGATTCTCACGAAACACGAAACAAACCGTCCCTAAAGATTTAAATTTAAATTAAATTGACTCCCTCAGTCAAATACAAGGGTAAAAAAAAATTATTATTTTCCCAGCTCTTTCTATTTCTTAATTTTTTCAGTTAGTGGCCGTTTGTTTGGTGAGATTCCCATGGGATGGGCATCCAGATTCCCCTGTTTTTTTTATAGGAATGTTGGATATCCGGACATCGTTAGATGTCTCGATATCCTAGGATGCCTATACGGGAGGCATCTGAGTAATTTTAGATGCCCTCTAGTAACATAGGTTTTTAAGATTTTTGTGTTGAGGACATTTTGCCTCGTTATTTTTGTTCTATAATATTTTTTAATCAATAATATTTATTTCTCACATATTTTATTTTATTTTATAAATTAATTTATTCACTAATTTATTGATAAATTTCTAAATATAATTTTCTACATTTAGATATGAAATAAACATTAGTCAATCATATAATATCTTAATTTATTTTTAATTCAAATCTAGTGTGAAATCTTTTATTTATTTTACTCTTCCAAGAGTCACCAAACATAAACTAAAATTGTCATAAAATATATTATTAAATTAATAAAAATAAATTTTTATATGAATTCAAATTATATTAAATTTAACGTATAAATTAAATTATATGATGACTGGTAAAGGTAAATTTACAATATTCCCACAAATAAATCCTACAAAACAAACGTGACTATCTTAAATTGAAGATATCTAAAATTTCACACATCTAAGATTGCAGGCATCTAAAGAAGTCATTCCCAACCAACAAACGGCCACTTAACTTTATTTTCTATCTTCCACTTTTTAAACTTAATCTCTCCCTTAAATAATTTATACTTCTAATTTTTTTTTCCAATCTAAAATCTTTGTCTCTCTTTATCTAACTCTTTTTTCTTTCTAAATTTTTCATTTTTTTCTTCCTCTATGTTTCTTTTCCCTCTAAAATTTGCCCCTGGACCTTTTTTATGTTGCCAACGATAATTGGTATATATCTCTAATTAAGAGGACGTGAGTCCGTTGTACTCAAAAGAAAAAAAAATATTTTCTGTTTTTTTGTTTATATCTAAATTTTTCATCATTTTAAATTTGTTCGGTCTAAATTTCTCACTTTTTACTTATTTTCTACTTTTCTAACTTTTTCCTCTGTCTAAAAATTTCACTTATTAATTTTTCTCTATAGAACATTTGAACTTTTGTTCCTCTCTCATTTTTTTTTATTTTTTCTAATTCTAATTCTTTTGAGAGATTGGAATATCTTGCTACACTTGATTCGAGTGATAATTTTGAGAGATTGGAATGTCTCGCTAAACTTGGTTCGAGTGATAATTTTGAGAGATTGGAATGTCTCGCTGCATTGAGTCCTTTCTTAAGGAATCCTTATACCACTCGAATCGCAACAAAAAATCTGTTCTTTGGAGATTGGAATGGTTGGAACGCAACAATCGTATTTTCTCTTATTTTTTAGATCTTATCTTCTTTGGGAATATATTAAGACTTTAGTATCTTCCTGATCTACAAAGTATCCTATCTTTTATATAGTTAAACTAGTATGTTAATTTTTTCTTACAGTATGGTTTGGAACCACATTGTTGAAGTTATAATGTAATTTCAAAGCTTTTCTTCAAGTATTTCTTCAACTGAATTGTTTGTGATGCATTGATACTTGCAGCCATACTTTTGCGACATTACCAACATTTTAGAGATTTTCATCATTCTTTATGTTGATATGAATTCTGTTGGGTTTGTAAGTGAATGCGAATAAAAGTCCCACATTGGTTAGGGAAGAGCATGATGTCATGGTATATAAGGGAGGACAATTATATCTATACCACCATTAGTATAAGATCTTTTGGGTGAAACAAAAAACAAAGTCATGAGGGTTGACGACGTAAAACTTAAATTTTGGGTTAAAATAAAGAATTTTTCAGTTGGTTAAGACACTTATTCCTATCTAAATTGTTATTAATTCGAAACAACTATATTTATTAATGAATAACACTACCAACTATATAGATAATAAAAACAACTTTGGATAATTCCACTGTCTAGATCAATTTTAATATCTTTGGACCACAATATTTTTTATTTATTCTAAGATTGATTTATTTTATTACATAATTCCAAAAACAGTTTTTTATTCCGAAACTTATTTATTACTTGTCAATTTTGAGAATAATGCTATTTAAGAAAAGGAATTACAAAAAAACAATGTAGATTTTAAAAGAATTGTAAATTAAATAAAAAATTTTAAAATTATTGACAAAATAAGTTGGGAGATTTCCACGTAAAAATCGCATACAACCAACGCTTCCTCTCTCGCTCTCTCCCCTCCATATCTTCCGGTTGGTCTTTTCTTTTCTTTCTTTATTTTTTTGGTATACGTTTCATCCTTTTAGAAAAAAAATCACAATTTTTTTTATATATATTGTTATGATTTTATGTTTGGATTATAATTTTTTTAAAACAAATCCAAAATTTTCAAAAATGTTGTATATATATTATGCAAATAAAAATAATCAAGTTTTCAATAAATTCTAGTTAGATTCATTGTTTAATGGATAAATATTATAATTGAGTAAAAAAAAAAAAAGTTGATTTCAGTCCTATTAAGAAGGCATCCATTTTTAAGGATTAAAAAAAAAATACAGAAAACATCATGGTCAACATATAAATTAGATTCTGTTGTTGGTTAAGATTATTCCTAAATAAATTTCAAATCCATTCAAATCTGTTAAACCATTGAAGCAGAAACCGTGAAAGAAGGAAATAATTTAAGAAAACTAAAGCTTCTTAATTAAAAAAAAATATATATATATAGATTTAAAAAATTGGCGGTTGCCTATATATTTGAAGGCAAGTTTTAATTTTTGGATTAGATATTGAACAGGTTTCATTAATTTAGAAGGGTGGTTCCATGGCAGCAGAGGGGGATGTTTGGATGTTTCGCGAAATGCTGAGGGAGAAGTCGAGAATATTGGACAGACGACGATCTTCGTGAGATGCTGGAATATTGGACAGACGACGATCTTCGTGAGATGATGGAAGATTGGTTACACTTGGAACAACTTCATTCGAGGTGTGTTTACGAGTGATTTTCCTTTCCATTAACGATATTTTGTCAATTAAATTGAAAAGTGAATTAGAGTTGAATCTCTTCCTTTAAAATCACTAATTTTACGTAATTTCCAAACACACCCTCCATAAGCAGAAGCTCGAACCCTCTACGTTATTTAAGAAGTTATTGCAGAAGCAGGAGCCGTCAACATTATTTAAAGAGCACGAGCACTCAACATCCTCAATGTTATTCAAGGAGCATGAGCCGGAGCCCTCAACGTCGTTATTCAAGGAGCATGAGCCGGACAGAAGACAACGCAATAACCCGGAGCCACCCTCGAAATAATTAATTTCCATTAACTCAACTCACTCGTTAATTTAAACCAAAAAACTCGAAATAATTAAGAATCTCACTCGTTAATTTCCAATTAAATTTAATTAATGCACAAAATCAACAATGAAATAATCCCGAATTCTATGAATTCTATAAATTTATACCACAATTAAGTTTTTTCCAATTAAGTTTGATTAATGTCAAATTCTCCGATCGTGCCTCTTTTGAAAGATTGAATATCGATATTGATCCCATCTCGCTTCATCAAGTTCTTGTATAAGTATATTGAAAACAAATAAAAGTCAAACATTAGCCATATGACGATGTTATCGTACCAGTGATCTCATTAGAAGTCATGTCACTTACATGATATATGCATCTATGCACGGATCAGTTATTGGCTTCATCTCATAAAAGGTTTGTACAACGTTATGCATTTACGTCCAAACATGGATTATCAAGGACAAAAAACATTGAAATAACTAATGGAAATTATATGTTAAAAAAATAACGAAAATTAGAAAATCCGAGTAAAATCGAAACCTTCTAAACTTCCGCTCACGTCCTAAATTTTACAAAGATTAGTTGAAGGAAATTATTTCGACATTTCGATGATAAACTAAAAAGATTGTGACAAACAGCCAAATCCATTATATCAGAGTCCAGTCCAATAATAATTACTGAGCACTTTTATAATTGCTTCTAAACAAATTAATTTATGAGTTTTTATAAGTGGAATCAATACAGAAGACACTAGGGATAGCTATTAATCTAGGTGTTCGATTAATAAATGGCAATTTTAAATACTATTTTTGTATTTATAATTTATACTTTATTTATTTTATTTTACGTGCTTTTAAAATATCTATTTTAATATTAACATATACTTTTTTTTTTTACTTTTATTCAGTTAAGTTATTTTAAAACATCTATTTTAATTATGGTACTTCTAAAAGTTTATTAATTTGATCCCTAATTACAAAAGTTTATATACAATGAAAATTATTTAATATAAATTTATAACTACGTTTCAAAGAATTCCGTCTAGCGGTGTGTACAAATTCTGACGGACGGTGTGTACAAAGTAATGTTGATTTTAAATTTCAACAAAGTAAGGATCAGTGTGGAAACAATAAATAAATAAGAAGATTTTTAATTGAAAAAAGTGGATTTTTACTGAAGCTAGGAAGATTATAGGTTCGAATGTTGTAATTTAAAAAATTTTAAAAACAATTTAAAATAGAATAATTGAATGATGATATTTTGTGATCTTCCTTCTTCTTACTCGTATTAAATTCAAAATTCAATTTTAATTTAATAATTTAAAAAATATGAATTTATCATATAGATCTAAATTTCAAACCAAAACAAATTTGCTTTTTATTTATTTATTTTTATCATGGGCTGTGATGTTTTTTTTAGTGGGAGAGGGAGAAATTTGGAATATAATGAAAGAATTCAAATAAAAATATTGAAATGGGAACATAAAAGGGGATAAAAAAAAAAGAAACGTTGGTTTTAACAAAGTAATGATTAGTGTAGGATATATAGGGGACAACATCTGGAAAGTGAAACCAACAATAAATAAGGAGATTTTTAAATTATAATGGAAGAATTTATAATGGCGCGTGTGCGTGGACGTGGAGGGACGGGAGGACGCGATTTTCCGTTAATTTTTTTAAAAATTTTTGAAATTGCCAAAACAAATTCATTAATGATTTCCGTTTGGCGTCACTGTCAAAACTCAAACTCTGAAAATATCTGAAGGAGTACCGTTGTGAACTTGATCTCTGTTTCTATTTATTCTTCCTCTTGGCCAACACTCCAATTACTTCCTTCCGAAGCCATTTCTGATCGACGCTTCAAATTGAGGAGTTCTTCTCAGTTTCCGATCCACCACCACCATGGCCATTGCAGCATCCGGTACGTAGCTTCTTGTCTTGGCAATGGCCATTGCAGCATCTTCTGTTCTGTTCTTCAACCTCGCATGCACTGCGAAAATACTCAATCTCCTCTTCTGTTCTGTGTTTGCTTGCGCTTTCAGAGATTCTGTAACTTGCTGTGGACAATCATCGGGCCGATAACCAGAGTGCAGTGCACCGTCCATTCTGTAACTTCCCGAGATCTTTAATGTCTGTTCTCCGCCGTCCGCGTTCTACGGAATACGTCTCGGCCGAAGATTTCGATAACCAGAGTGCAGTGCGGCGGCCACGACGCCAAGTAAGTGTAGAAGCGGGAATATTTCGATCGCATAGTTTCCTTGCATTTTGATTAGTTCTGTTCATTTCTTCAACTTAAATTCGCTTTGAAATCATGCATTGACATCTTGATTACTTCGTATGTTTCTAACAGAAATGGTCCCTTAATCCCGTCCCGAATGGGGAAGCAGGCCTGATATACACGTTGAAAAATTAAAATAATCATTCGGACGATATCACTGTGCTTAAGTTTTCAAGTGATGGGAGGTTCGCTGAAGGTATATTCGGACGATGTTCACTGTCACTTGTTTCTTCTTGTTTGTTTGTCAACTTCCCTCCTACTTATTAACGATTTTCTCAGGTTTGGGATTTGCGCCAAATGAAAAAACCTCTCAAGGTGTTTGATACATTGGCACGCAACGTGTTGAATTCAATGAAAAACAGAGCATACGCGTCCTTCCCTCTTCCTTCCTCGCGACCTTTGATCGGAAACTCCCGCCACCGCCAGCCGCCGTTGTACGGCCATTGAAGCCGGAACTGATTCTTCATCGGTACGTTTCCTCTTCCTTTTGGCGAGAGATATGGATTACGAGAGAAGGCTCAGAGCCGCTGCGAAGCTCATACTTCTCGACGATGCTCGCATCGATAACTTGCAGGAAGCCTGCCCGGACTTCGGAGTTGTGGCGACTCTGAAACCCTACCAAGTCGAAGGAGTTATATGGCTTATCAGGCGATATCTTCTCGGCGTCAACGTCATTCTTGGTTACACTTCTATCTCATTCTTTTTTCGGCTTCAATCTGCCAAAAAATAAAAAAGAAGTCTATCAGGATTTAGAGATTGTACATGTCAAATGAGCTGAAGAGCCGTAATTTTAATAGATTCCTTTTGTTATGTAGACTTTGAAACTAGTTCTGTTTCAGAAATGTAGAGATTGCCACAGATTTCTCTTCATAGGGTAATATTTTCTCTGTGTTGTTGATTTTTTTTTTTTCCCTGAGAAGAAATCATATTAAATTGTACAGTTTGCTACTAGTCCAGTAGCCAACTGATAATCCGAGAAAGAGAGCAAAACGGGAGGTCTGCTCTGCTTCTTTGACAGAACAAAACGGGTGGAAATATCCAAAAGTTGAATCAAAACACATAAAATATGCATATTAAAATCCTTGTTATGAAGAAGCATGGAAGAGCGAGCAGACTATGACGGAACGTATCAATCTATTCTGAACATAAGATGTGGGAGATATAGCCACTTTTGGGACTTTTATGATGTCAGTTTGATGTTAATAGGGTGTTGTATTATTTATTTTAAAGTCTTCTACGACATATGTAGCAGAGTTAGATTTTATCCGTCTAATGTAATTTCAAAGTTTTTCTTCAAGTATTTCTTCAACTGAATTGTTTGTGATGTATTGATACTTGCAGCCATACTTTTGCGACATTACCTGTCATTTAAGAGATTTTCATCTTCCTTTATGTTGGTATGAATTCATTGGGTATTGAGAAGTTAAAGTTGCTGAAACGAGGTAAAAATTAAATGTTGGGTGTGAGTTTTTATGTTTTTGTGTCTATATTAGAAGCACGGCTCATTTGTAAAATCTCTGCAGGCAACAATTTGGTGGGCTGGGCTCATGAGAGGTGCTATGCAGTTGGCATTTGCTTTATAATCAGGTCAGTTAGGAACATTAACGACCACAATCTGGCTGCAGATTTTTTTGTCAAATTCTCACTTAGATAACATGAATTTCTCGTTGATTTGAAGTCTCTGAGTGGGATTTTAATGTTAGTTATTATTTAGGAAGTCTCTGAGTGGGATTTGAAGTCACTTAGATAATATGAATTTCTTCGTTGATTTGTCAAATTCTTGGATTCTGCCTTCGGAATGTACTTGGACTTTTTTATTTATTTATTTATTTACTCCTAATGGGTGGAAGAAAGATTGAAAAGGAGTACATGTTCTCTCAGAATTGGGACGTAAGAGTTTCTTAGTTAAATCAAACATAGGAGTTAACCCATAAAATCTCAACCCATCAATATAAAGGCTTGATAATGAAAATGATTATGTGATGAGAGCTTTAGAACAATGCTGAGTCCAGACAAAAGGGGATATATGTTTTCATGACAAGTTACAACACAGATTCACAGCATGTATGAGAAACCAAGAAAGTGTTTTATCTTACGTAAGAAAAATTTTCAAGGATACAAGCTTCCAAAAGGAAACGAATATTCCTTCATGATATCATCTACATTTTGGATGTCTAAAAGAATACTTTGATTATGGTGTATTTTCTTCGCAGGTAGCTCTATATTTGTATTGCAAAATTTGTAGCATTTGCTTAGAACATATGTCTTAAAAAGTTGTAATATTTTCATAGAATTTAAATCTTATGTTTTTTGGAAAAAAGAATATTGTTAAATTTTAAGAAAGATGCATTTAGTTTATATACATCCACCATAATCTAAAACTTGGAGGAATTTTTTTGCGGAGGATTGTAATTAACTTCAGCCTCCACGATATCATCTACTTTGGATGTTTAAAAGAATACTTTGGTTATGATGTATTTTCTTTGTGGGTAGCTCTATATATTTATATTTGAAAATTTGTAGCATTTGCTTAGCCACATAGTTCTTAAAAAACTATAATATTTTCACGGAAGTTCCATCATATTTTGCTAAAAAAAATAATATGGTTTATACATCCACGTAAAGATCAAGAAATTAATTATAAAAGAACTAATGTCTTTATCTCTGTCTCCCAATAAGCTTATTGATTCGTGATCATTTACTTATCTTTAAAGTTTTAAGAGACATCTGAAGGACTGATGAAACCACGTATGGTAGTGGGCATCTGAAGGACTGATGAAACCACGTATAGTAGTGGGCGGAGTTGGCAAGCTAACTAGGGGACTGTCAAAGAACTAGAAGATGGTCAATCTACACCAAGTAAGTATTTATTTCTTTCATTCTTGTTTTAAATTTGTCATCGTACTCACTGAGGATGTACTTACTGAGGATATCTGTTTAGAGAAATTTAGACTATGTTATCCTTATTAGAAATTAGAATCTTGAGGAAATATTCACTATTGTAGTGGGTGGAGTTGGCAAGGTACCTAGGGGATTGTCAAAGCATACTAGAGATGGCCAATCTACATATCGAAGTTTTCGACTCTCTTTGCACTTGACCTCGTATTTTTTAACTGAATGCCCATTGCATAGATCATCATATTGTATATATACAATCTGTATTTTTCTAAAAAAAAAGCTCTAGTATTTGAGAGGCTGATCTTTTCATCAGGGTCTAACATTCTGTACTATTCAGATATGTTGTGACTTGTGATTGACCTCTCAGATGGCCTTTTCATGTTCATACAAAGTCACATTTGGATGGTGCGATCCTTCAGAGGCTGATCATTTTGTTTATCTGGTATTCATATTGGTAAGAGAACTCAAGTTGACTATATAGTTTTCATTGACTAGTTAAATGCCTTCCATGTAACACCAGGACTGTTCAACATTTATATCAACCTAAGGCATGCAATTCAGAGAATAATTGCTAAATTTATTTCAGGAAATTGAGATGCCGGCTGACGTTTTTTCGCAGGTTTGCATGAGGTTGCTGACACATCTTTATCTGATAAATTTTTCCTTCGCCAGGTTAGCATAAATGTTCTCAGTTCAGAATATTTGGTGTGGATTGGAATAATTTGCTGATAAACTCAAGTTTAATGATCTGTATTTTTTGCCTATCAGCGCTCGTGCTGGATGAATGAACGTGATGTTTCAAATGATTCTGTGCTGAAACACAGACCTCTTTGGGTTTCATTCATGGTTACAGATATTTTTTCATTTCTGCCATAGTATTTTTTTTCCTTTTTCTAACTGCAATGTTTTTTTCAATATTTTTCTTTAATTTAACACCAACAAAAAATTTTAATCACTTTCTAAATTTATATTCTTTTACTTTTAAAATTGTCTTTCTCAAATTTTTTTTCTATATCTAAAATTTTAACAAGGTTTTTCCTCTTTAATTTTTTTTTTAAATCAACTTTCTTTATCCCACTTTTTCAAGTTTTCCAATATCTGATATTTTTTTCTTACTTTTAACGTATTTACTATATATATTTTTTTTTCTCTTTTTATATGCAATATTTTACTCTCCTACCTAAATTTTCTCTCTAATCGGTCTGTAAACCTTTTTAACTTCTTTTTTCCTCTATAAAATATCTTTCATCTATAAAGTTATTTGTAACTTTCTATATCAAAAATTTTTCTCATTTTTTTTACATTTTTTTTCTCTAAAATTTCTATCTATTTGTATATTTTTTCTTTCTAAATTTTTTTTTCTAACATTCTTCCTCTCTTCGAAAAATCTTCTCACCTTTTTAACTTTCTTGTATTTATAGATTTTATTTCTACAAATGTCATTCTCTTACCTCGTACTTGTTAGGAGAGTTAATTTTCTTACCTTGAACTTATTTCATCAAATTAAGACTAAAACTTGAGAAAGTATATAATATAGCATAAACAAATAAAAAAATTAAAAAGAAGAAGAAGAAAAAAAAGAAAACACTCAAAATCAAATAAAAATAATGTCCAAACCCAACATTGAAAACACTTGAATCTAGAAACAAAATCAAGTAGGTGAAAAACATCACTTTTCAAGAATTCAGTTCTTTGATGAAATTAAAGGTTTAAGTTTAAATTTCATGACTCAAGGTTTAAGTTTAAATTTCATTGAGTCACCCAGTAAAGTAAAGGGGTAAAAAGAAAAAATATATTTTTTTTAAGTATTTCTATTTCACCCTAAAATATTTTCTCACTTTATAATTATTTATTGTCTAGTTTTTTTCTTTGCATTTAGAACAATTCTCTCTCATTTTTTAACTTTTTGTATGTAAACATTTTTTTCTCTCTGAACTTTTTTCTCTTCAACTGCTTTTTTTGGGTGGGACATTATTTTACCTCTTACTTGATGGGTGAATTTGATTTTTTCCTTTAAACTTATTTCATCAAATTAAGACTTAAACTTGAAATACGAGGGTAAAAAAAATATTATTTTCCCACCTCTTTCTATTTCTAGATTTTTCCACTTAACTTTATTTTCTATCTTTCACTTTTTAAACTTAGTCTCTCTCCCTTAAATAATCTCTACTTCTAATTTTTTTGTTCATTCTAAAATTTTTGTCCCCTCTTTATCTAACTCTTTTTTGTTTCTAAATTCTTTCATTTTTTACTTTTTCTCTAAAATTCCTTTTTTCATAGTTTTTAACTATTCCTTATTTCTCTTGAAATTTTTGTTTCTTTTCCCTCTAAAATTTTCCCCCTTTACCTTTTTCTTTCTAAATTTTTTTGTTTTTGTTTTTTCTTATCTCTAAAATTTTCATCATTTTAAAGTTTTTTGGGTCTAAATTTCTCACTTTTTACTTATTTTCTACTTTCTAACTTTTTTCCTCTATCTAAAAATTTCTCACTCGTTAATTTTTTTCTCTTTCGAACATTTGAACTTTTGTTCCTCTCTAATTTTGTCTTTTTAGTTCTAATTCTTTTGAGATATTGGAATTTCTCGCTACACTTGATTCGAGTGATAATTTTGTAGTTAAACTGGTATGTTAATTTTTTCTTATAGTCTCTTTGAAACCACATTGTTGAAGTTACAATGTAATTTCAAAGCTTTTCTTCAAGTATTACTTCAACTGAATTGTTTGTGATGTATTGATACGTGCGGCCATACTTTTGCGACATTACCTTTCATTTAAGAGATTTTCATCTTCCTTTATGTTGGTATGAATTCATTGGGTATTGAGAAGTAAAATTTTCTGAAACGAGGTAAAATTTAAATGTTGGGTATGGGTTTTTATGTTTTTGTAGGACGGCTCATTTGTAAATCTCTGCAGGCAACAATTTTGTGGGCTGGGCTCATGAGAAGTGCCAGTTTTCCGTCTCACAGGCCATCCTGCCTTGAGACAGGTGAGCTCATTGACATGGAGCATAATATTGTATACAAAGCATTTTCTGTAAGTTACATTTTTATTTTGCCGAGTAATTCACATTCTTAAAAGAATTTAATTTATAAGTATAATTTATTTCCTCTTTCTGAGAATACATATCATGGTTTTTGACTCCCTTCGCACTTGACCTCGTGTTTTTTAACTGAATGCCCATTGAAATGAGCATCATATTGTATACCATCTGTATTTTTTACAAAAGCTCTTTAGTCTAGCTACTATACTTTTTGTACCACTACAGGCAGGTCAGGCTGAATTGATAGCTCTTGAGAAGGCATTGAAGGGATGCAACTCTATTTATATGCAATGCGGGCGTACTTGGATGGCAATATCCTTAGATAAGTAAGTGCCTTCTTTTTCTCAAAACCGAACTTGATAACATTTTGTGGTTTTCCGGTATTCAAATTGGTCAGAGAATTCCAGTTGACTGTGTGATTTTCATGTATTAGTTAAATGCCTTCCATGTACCAACATGACGGTTGGACATTTATAGCAACCTAAGGGATGCAATTCAATGAATAATTGCTCAATTTGTTTCAGGAAATGGAAAGGTCAGGCTGATATGCTTGCGGCAGGTTTGTTTGAGGTGGCTGACCCATCTTTATTTGATAAAATTTTCATTCGCCAGGTTAACATAAAGATTCTCAGTTCAGCATATTTTGCTGATCAACGTAAGTTTAATGATCTGTATTTTGGTGCCTACCAGGGCTGGATGGAGTATCCTGATGTTTCAAATGTTTCTATCCTGAACATTAATCCTTTTTGGGCTACTTTCATGGGTATATATATTCTTCCTTTGCTGCCTCAAGTTTTTTTTGGCTTCAAACTGTAAATATTCTTTTCAATCTCTTTCTTTAATTTAATCACTTTTGAAATTTAGTTTTTCTCACTTTTGAAATTGTCTCTATGAATTTTTTTTCTCTATTTCTAAATTCTTTTAATCACATTTAAGGTTTTTCCTCTCAATAAACAAGGAGATTTTTAAATAAAATGTAATTATGTAAGGTAATGGAAGAATTGATAATGGCGCGTGTGCGTGGAGTGGATGGAGGGGAGGAAGCAATTTTCCGTTATTTTTTAAAAAAAATTTGAAATTGCCAAAACAAATACATTAATGATGTTCCGTCTGACGTCACTGTCAAAACTCAAACTCTGAAAATATCTGAAAAAGTACAGTTGTGAATTGTGGTCTCTATTTCTATTTATTCTTCTTCTTGGCCAACACTCCAATTACTTCCTTCCGAAGGCATTTCTGATCAACGCTTCAAATTGAGGAGTTTTTTCAGTTTATGATCCACCACCACCAGGTACGTAGAGCTTCTTGTATTGGCAATGGCAATGGTAATATTGCCATTGCAGCATCTTCTGTTCTGTTCTTCAACCTCGAATGCACTGCAAAAATACTCAATCCCCTCTTCTGTTCTGTGCTTGCTTGCGCTTCCAGAGATTCTGTAACTTTCTGTGGACAATTCATCGGGTAACTTCACGAGACCATTAATGTCTGTTCTCCGCCGTCCGCATTCTATGGAATACGTCTCCGAAGATTCCGACAACCAGAGTGCAGTGTGTCACGGTCGTACATTTTTCAACCGTGCGGCGCCATGATCTAAGCTAGACCATGGCCAGCCTTACGAGGAACTCTAGCTCCAATCCACTTTTCACGCCCTTTCGTGGCTTCGTCGGACCTTAGGCGAGGTTCTTTCTTCCTCGACCGAGTTTCACTTACAGCGGAATTCTCCCTTGACTCGGCAATGCACGTCGCC